AAACTCATGGGCTCAATATAGACATTGGATTTATGATACACTACAACTTGCCTGACATCTGACTCCCCCGGTACCTCTCCACTTTTACCTGCTACATCCCTCCCACTCCCCCCCCGCCCCCCCAATGCTGGCCTGTCCCAGACCACGCTACTTTCTTACTTCTGGGGTGCGGATGCATGTGTGGATGCTGCCTTTTCCTCCTCCTCAGCAAGCAACAGGAGGAGCAGACTCAGCTGAGCCACTTGCCTCCACAACCTCAACCTCCTCCAAAGTGCCTTCTGGGGAAGGAGACCTGGCTGTAGGGGAAACTTGAGGGGCGTGGAGCACAAACTCAAATGATTCCCCCTCCTTCCCCAGAATTTCCCTTGCTATGGCACTCAGATCCAGCTCCAGCTCTTCCTCTGGCACTGGAAGGCTCAGGATGGGAAGTGAAATGGGGGTTGAGGAGACTGTCATGTTGGTGCTGCTTGTTGTTATGGTGGTGGTACGAGGGGTTACGGCTCATGTTTTTGGAGGGGATGCAGACTCAGGCAGTGGCACTGCTCCCCTCTCCTTGCTGCCAGGAGAACTGGAAGCCTCATGCCTGCTAGTTGTAGGAAAGAGGCTACGTCTCAATTTGGGTGGTAGAAATTACAGCTCTCCCTCTACCCCCTCTTCCGCCCCTCCCTGAAGGCTTGCCAGCTGCCTTTTCAGCACGCTTCATAGTGTGTTTGGTATGCTGGAAAATGTGTGTTCTTCTGTAACTGTATTAATTTAATATATGTAGATAATTGTATGTATGTGTTTATGTAATGTATGTATGTATGTATGTATGTAATAAATAAAATATATAAATGTATGTATGTATTCCTGAATAAATTATATATTATAATATGCAATATATGCTGTGCTTCCCTGCACAGTGAATGAAATGCACACCGTGAAAGAAAGCACAGATTTCTTTTCTGGGGGAAAAGAATCAAAATAGACTAACAAAAGCAAAAAGGATTTTGGGGGAGGAATAAATTGAAAGGAATGAACGAATATAATAATAAAAGGGTACAGGCAACCCCCCCTTAACACTCTTAGTTGGTTCCAGGAAAACCGAGCATTAAGTGGAACCGCGTTAAGCGAAACTCATTTCCCCATAGGCATTAATGTAAATAGAACTAATTGGTTACTTCTGCTTCTTACTGTAGCTTCTCACCATGGCCGTCGCCTCTCCCCTCCCCTCTGCCTGCCTGCTGGCTGCTCCAGCCCCATGTGCCAGCTCACAGCCCACGCTCCTGCCAACTCCGGCACCACGGGGCCTCACACTCACTGCTTCTGTTTCCCCGCAAGGAAGCCCAGCTTCGAAACTCAAAACATTCTGAAATGTTTCAAGTGTCCTTGTTTCGTTTCAAAGCTGTTTCGAAGCCTTTCGTTTCGTTTCAATTTCGCTGTTTCAAGCTTGAAACGACTCGAAACAGTGTCAAAATGAAACACCCAATGAAATTTTGCACAGCCCTGCTTGCTACTAGTTCCACATGTCAAGCCCCATAATGATACTCATGTCTAGGTAAATGTGGAAAGAAGACAAGAAAAGTAGAAATTAAGGAATGAAAAAAGCAGCCCTTGGATTGCAGCATTTTGCTGACAGCACTGAGAGACTAACTGTGGCTCTAGGAAGATGTAAAAGATCAGTATAAGCACCCTGGGGAAATGTTGTAAAGAAATTACCTGAAATCAAGCCAGCAAACCTCTCAACAACAGGAGAGTAACATTTTGACTAGTGTTAGACATAATTTCAAACCAATGTAATGATACAAGAAGCCTATAACCATACCTAGATATTGTACGCACTTATATCTACGTTTTTTCTTGATAAAAGAACTGACCTAATAATGCAGATGTATCAAGAATCAGATTAAAGCATAGTTAAAAAGGTTGGCTGTTAGCAGCACGTTAGTTTGAACTCAGGAAATTCAACTATTGCTTCAAGGGAGGTTCTGATAAAAACTGTTTCAGGCAAATTATCTTTCATATCAGTTATGTTATTTCAGGGAAAGAAAGACTAAAAAAAACTAGTACTGAATCACGTACCTTTTGGACAGAAAAGAACTTTGAAGAGTAGGACTTAATATCTGACATGTCTGTAGACTGGCAACAGATGAGGGTGGTTGACCCGACTGTAACTTGTCAGCATCAGATATGTTAGCATCAGAGCTAAGATGGCTCTTTGCATATTTTCTTCCAACTTTTGTCCTCAGGACATTTGTCAAGATAATTTTGGGATGCCTGTCATATATAACAAGAAATGAGAAATACTACACTGAGTTCTGGACACAGAAACTTCTGGCTGAGTGTACGTAACTTAATAGCTTGGTAACACCAAACATCAATAATTCTAAGAAAGCATAATTTTGCCCACAGGCCTTTATAGTCATAAAACAAGATTCTCCACTGAGAAGCGAACAGTCTAACTCAAGCAGGTCACATTAGAATCAATGGTAACAGACCACATTAAGAAGCTGGGTAGTCAAACGGAGAGGGGACAGAAACATGACATTTGTAGAATTAAACAGCACATTAACAGTCTTGTCTTTGACATCTCACCTTAAGATTTTGCAGTTCCCTGTCCACACAATATTTCTCACCATAAAACTTTATGTGAAATTGAAATTGCAAAGCATTTGATAGCAGTATGGAGTGAAAAAAAGTAATTTTCCTATTAACAGAAAGTCTCTAAAAAAACAAAGATTACTGTCAGATTGATTCACTCAAATGCCTGACCATCAGCGGTCAACCAGGTACCACAAAAACCCAGTACTTCATTCCAGTCTTTGGTCACAGATCCCAGGTGACACTCTTCAAGCAACTGATTATGAAACAGATGATTTTACATGTGTTAGATGAAATAAGCATCAAAGTTAAACTAATCAGATGACAAAATATATTGATCAGCAGTTAAAATGTTCAAGACTGTCACAAAACATCTGACATCATCAAAATCAACTTGCTGTCTTTTGTGGCTGGTGGCTGACTTCTCACTGTCCTCAAACTTCGTTGCTTATGCTTTACTATTTCCATAGTGACTTATTCCAAATAATAATAGAGAGTCATTGCTTGTTTGTATCTGTTATGATTCTGTACATGTTGCCTCCTGGTTATTGATTGCATATTCCTCTTTCAGTATCATCTCTCTGAGTACTGATCTACTTGGGGCATGTTACAGCACATTCAGATGATGTCCAATTATTGTTCTTTGCACTCCTGTTCTATTCAGATGTACAGATTCTCTTTTCAGAGTACCTTAGTATTTGCAGGGCTGTCATCAAGCTGCTGATGGAGCAGAGGTAGTCAGCGATGAGAAATATCTAGCTCCAGAAAAACAATTAGAGAAGACAAGAACTGCAAGTATTTCTTGTCTGGAGGAAGGAGAGAAGAGGGCTTGGCTGGATGTGAATGTGTTCTCTTCTTTTCATGAGGGTGAGGAGAAATATGTAGATTACAAGGGTCCAAAGACTGAACCAGAATTTAAATAAAGTTTTTTTTTATAGAGTTCAATTTAGAAAACAATGGATCAGAAACCGCATGAGGGCATGGATGGCACACTGTCTCTCAAATATTATGGCCTAAAGTGACAGTTGCAAGCAAACCTAACAAAGTCTGCTATGGTGAGGGTGAAAGTAAGGCTGGCAACAACAAGAAACAGCTACCATGCAAAGAGGAATTCTTTGTTATGAACAACAATTGCAAGCAAACTATTAAAGACTTTGTATGCAACATGAAGCAAAGCAGTACTGAAACAGAGTAAGAGTGTACTCAGCAACATACCTTTTGGACTGAAAAAGGTTTTGGAGAGGAGGGTTTAATATTTGCCAAATCTCTAGGCTGGCAACAGAAGACGAAGTTGGTAGATCTGACTGCACTTTGCCATCGTCAGATATATTAGCATCAGTTAAAAGCTGGTTCTGTGTGTATTTTCTTCCTATTTCCGTCCTCAGGATATTCGTCAACATAACTTTGGGTTGCCTGTCATACATACAACAACATATGATGAATATGGCACTGATCTCTAGGTAAGGCACATGAATTCAACACAGCTTCTTTTAACAGATTTGTTATCCCTGCATTCTACTTCTAACCTCGGTTAGAGGTAAGTTTACTCAGTTGATGATTTACAGAACTACTCTCTTTATAGATGGGGAGTTGGAACTGACTTTTGTGGTGATACGTCCTTCCAGGTTTTGCACTCAGCATCAGTGGCTACCTATAAACAAATGTGGATGTGTAGTAGTAACTTTGCTGTGTGACAATGTAGGAATTTCACTGCATCACCTCTACAGAGAGAGAGGAAGTGCCAGAGCCACATGCAGTTTTGAAACTGTAGATTTGAGCTTGGACCTGACTACCAATGGGTGAAAACAGCTAGTTACACTGAAAAAAACTTATTGAAATTGATAATACTGTAGTTTCTCACATATAACATGCTCCCCTTCCAATAAAATATGCATCTTGTTTTTGAAAGGCAGAATGAAGGCAAAAAAGATATTCCTTGAAAGCCTCTGCAAAGAGTAGGGGAAGAGGTGGCTGCGAGAGGAAGGCAGATGAGGAGCAAATGTCCACAACCAGAAGTTATGGAGTCCTGCATGAAGCACTTGCAGCTTTACTTTCCTTTTCTCCAGGCAGAGGATCAGGGGGCAGAAACTGCTGTTACTGTATTTCCTCGATTACAATATATGCCTCACTGGAGCAGAATTATGGGGAAAAGGTGCATGACTCATGAAAATATGGCAGGGGTTGGCAATTATTCAGGCTGGAGGACCACTTAATGACTTTTGGTGGACTGTTGAGGGCCAGGGATGCGTCAACTAGGGCTGTGCAAAATTTTGGCAGCCATTTTGCTTTGGAGGTGTTTTGGGCTGTTTCAGCACCCGAAACACAGAATCCAAATCGAAACAGAAGGCTCAGAAACATCTCCAAAACGAAACAAGGCACCCAAAACGTTTCGGAAACGTTTCAGAAAATTTTGGCGTTTCGGAGCTGGGCTTGGAGGAAAACAGCTGTACGCTGCTGCCCTGCCACGCAACGTGGCTCCTCAGGGAGCAGAGATCCACACCAGGGGTCTCCTTACTGCTGCTGTCCACCCCTCACTGTCCCCGTGACACAGGGCTGCATGGGGTGGGCAGCAGCAAGGAGGAAACCACCAGTGTGGATCTTTGCTCCCTGTGGAGCCAGGTCATGCAGCAGGGCAGTGCTGGTCCCTGCTGTGTGACCTGGCCCTGCAGGGAGCAGAGAGCCGAGGCAGCGCAGGCAGGCAGTGGTGGCAAGGAAACCCCAGAGCAGATCTCTGCTCTCTGAGAAGCCAGGTTGCATGGCAGGGCAGTGGTGGTCCCTGCCACATGACCTGGTTCCAAAGACAACAGAGATCTGAGGCAGCGTGGGGCAGGCAGCAGCGGTGAGGAGACCCCGGCATTGATCTCTTCTCTCTGCGGAGCCATGTCGCACAGCAGGGCACTGCTGGTCCCTGCCATGCAACCTGACTCCTCAGGGATCAGAGATCCACGTGGGGGTCTCCTTGCCTGCACAGAGGGCAGTGGTCCCTCCCCCAGACAAGCCACCCATAGCCCCATCTGCTCCCCACTGGGGCTCTGCAGCCCCACCCGGCTGGGCTTTGAAACAGATTCGAAGGAGATTTGGCAGAGCTGCATCTCCGAAAGAGTTGGCCGAAACAAAACAGGACAGTGATTCAAAACACCGAAAGGGATCACTGTCCTCCGAAACGGCGGAATCTGAAACCAAATCAAAACACAGCCATTTTGCACAGCCCTAATGCCAACTGATCCTATCCAGCCTGCTGCCTATTGCCAAAAGCCTGAGGAGAGAGGGCTGCACACTGCACCACTCTGCTCTGCTGCACCAGAAAAGTCAAAGAAATACAAAGATTTAATAATAAAAATTACTATTACCATCATCACAAGAGGAATTTATTTTTTAATGTAGACAAAAACATCTGTGTGTGAAAGAGACATGCTAGGGATGTGTGCAGGACTCAGAAAAGATGGACTTTCAGCAGTTCCACACTGTGTTTTTGCAATTTGTTTGGCACATTCAGAATTTATTTTTCTTCAGTTAATTATCACATTAACAAAGACAACATAAAGATTACCTAGGAACTCGCTCACCTTTCTCCATTCAGTCCCATGCACCAACTTCCCTGTCACAAATCAGAATCTTGGCAGAATTATAAATTCTGGTTGACCTTAATAAAATTGCTACATTTTGGAACAATTCTGTGGGCATGCAGTAATCTACATGCATGCAGTAATCTATGTGCAAACCTTGTCATGCCTTTCACAGACCAGGTACCATGCAGGGTCACTGAACCTTGATTGCTCTTTTGAAAAAGGCAAACCCTCAAGACCATGGGATGGACACATCCATCCCATATGAAACTAGTTCTTCCTGAACTTCTCTGCAGGTTGGATTTGGGGACTGCAAAATTCTTAGACATGAGAACAAATAATCAGGTGTTAACAATGAGTGTTAAAAACCAACAGAACAGACCTGAAGAGACATGGAGTTAAAGGGACTCAGGGACACAGAAGGCAAGGCAGGAGCGGAATATGTTTTCATAACAGAAGAACCCTGTTCAATTACATGGCTAGGTGCGTAGGAACAAGAGACACAAACTCCATAAGAAGAGGAGAAACTATATCCTGGGCAGGGATCCAAGGCTCACTAGATGAGTCTGACCAAGGTTAATAAATGTTCCAGAGTAGTGAAGAAATTGAGGCAAACACATACATGTAGGCTTTTGTTATGCTATCTAGGTCTGTGTATTTTTTGGGTTACCTAAAGTAAAAAAGTTGTTTGTTTTAGGAACCCCTCACAAAGTTTGTGCCTCTCATTCAATTACCATGTGCCCCTGATGTGGTGAACCACAAATACCCACTGTCCAAAGGTTGGAGCTCAGTGGAACGGTATGCTTAAGCTTTTCCAAAGTCAGCACCCATCACTGAAGGCCCGCAGCAGCTGAGCCATGAGGTCTTATTTCCATGGAAAAATCTGCACTCAGTCAGCGTACAAGAGAAAGCAAAGAGAGAGCCATTGCTGCAGTCTGCTCAGACTAAAGGAAAGACTAACAGCATGTTGTAGTACCTAAACACAACTAACTTGTGCACAGCCAGCTACAAGAAACTCAGTTGGACTTATCTGACATCCCAATTTACCAAGGGAAGCAAAACTAAAAAAACAAAACCTTCTTTCTCAGGTAAGTTTTCTTGAACAAGCAGTTCTACTTTTTTGTGGAAAGTTGGGGTTTTTTTGGCTTGGTACTGCCATCTTAAGCCCTGTTTGCTTTGTCAGAAGAGCTCAAACTGAAAGGACCTACATTTAGCCATTTTTTATTTGTCCATTTTTAAAGTGTGCCAGTCTTTTAAAGCATGCCTTACCCAACCCCAAAATTACAAAAACACATGCCAACACCCTTTATTATGAAAGTATCCCTAAAACTATGCACATATGTATATGAGAAATCTGGCAACCAGATTTCAAAATTCAGCTGCTAAAGGCTCATTAAGTTTAACATTTCTAAATTAAGTAAATATACTCTGAAGTTGTCTTTGCATTAACCAACTTACACATTTTTCCTTTCGATAAAAAAAACACACCCGCCATATATAGATATATCTATATATAGAGACACACACTAAATATAGATATATCTATAGACAGATATCTATATATAGTGTGTGTGTATTTTTTTTTTTTTTTTTAACTGAAAGAAAAAGATGTGTGAGTTGGTTAATGCAAAGACAACTACCGGATGCTGCCCCATCCCAGAATCGCAGTGGCGGGTCCTCGTATGAGCTGATCTGCCCCGTGCCCTACTGGAACTGAATCCAGGTAGGGGCCTGGGGCAGATGAGCTGGTGCGGGGACCCTTCCCCGGCCCAGTTCCTGCCCAAACTGATCTGCCCTGGCCCCGCTGGCCCCAGGCGGCAGCACCTGACTCCTGTCAGCTGGCAGGCAGATCAAGGGCCCACCAGCACCCTCAGGAGGACTGCAGGGGCTGTGCCAGAGTCCTCCTGGGGGTGCGTGCCCCCGATCTGCCTACCGGCTAACAGTAGCTAGGTGTTGCCGCCTGGGGCCAGTGGCAGCACTGATCTTCCCAGCACCGGGTACGGGCTGTGCCTAGTGCTGGTCTGTCATCTGACAGGCAGATCAGAGGCCTGCACGCCCGGGAGGACTCTGGCACAGCTGCTGCCTGGCACCGGCAGCAGCAGTGATCTTCCCAGAGCTGGTCCCAAGCAGCAGCACTCAGCTTCCCTCATCTGGCAGGCAGACTGGGGGTTCACACCCCCGGGAGGACTCAGGCACAACCCAGGCAGCCCTCCCAGGGGTGTGGGCGAGCCTCCAATCTGCCTGCCTGCTGCATTTTATGTTTCCCCATAATAACCTAAGGGCAAAACATCGAAACAGCGTTGAAACAGCAAAACAGTTTCGATGAAACAAAACGAAACTCGAAACAAAACACTGTTCCATTGAATCGTCGAAATGGAAGTCGAATTGGAACAATGCTGTTTCACACAGCCCTAGTGTATATACACATACACACGCACATACCCATCAGCAACTCTGACTGGGGAAGAGGACTGGAGTGGCAGTTGGGGAGTGTGTGGGGATTACCTTGTCGCATGTCTGCCAAAATGGTTGGTCCCCATTGATCTATTACAAGAGATTTCTTAATAGGAATCAGCAGTGAAGAGTTCTTTGCTTTCTGATTGTAGTCCAAAAGAAAGTAGAGCATAGGCAGCTGAAGACAAGTGTCACCTCCCCCTTCTTTACTCAGGACAAAACGAGATTTTAAGTATGAAACCTATAGTATCCGAAAAGGATATTCCCCTTTTGTCTCATGACTGGAAGAGCATTTGATCTGAACAGACACCAAACCAAACAGCAGGTCAAAATTATTGAGTTTTTGCATCATTTCTACATTAGAGATGGCAAAATGCATATAAACTTATTTTA